CTGAGTCGACCACACACTCACTAACACACATTTACACTCACACACTCACTCACACACACTTACACTCACACACACTTACACACACACTCACACTCACTAACAAACTCACTCACTCACACTCACTCACACACACTCACTAACACACACTCACACTCACACACTCACTCACACACTCACACACACTCACACACTCACACACTCACTCACACACACACTCACTAACACACACTCACACACTCACACACACACTCACTAACACACATTTACACACACTCACACACTCACACACACACTCACACACACTCACGCACTCAGTCACACACTCACTCACTCACACTGACTCACACACACTCACTAACACACACTTACACTCACACACTCACTCACACACACACTCACTAACACACATTTACACACACTCACACACTCACACACATACTCACTAACACACACACTCCCTAACACACACACTCACACTAACACACGGGGGTAGGAGGCTAAATCGAACGGGAGAGTTTTGTCAGCAAGCGGCCACTTTTAGCCGCCGCTCTACCCATCAGGGGGGTGTCAGTGCCCACCGAGGCCACAGCTCAAGTTTGCGTCGCTTTGCTCATAATTCATGAGAGGCATTTCAGTTTTAGCCCGTGAGGGTTGGCCCATCTGGGCGACACCACGGCCGCATTCCCTCACTCCACCACCATCATCATCACCATCAGTAGCAGCGAGGCAGCTTCGTTAATAGCCATGGTCGATCCGCTGCTGGATGAAGGCCTCTCGACATTTGTGTAAAAGGTCATCCGGGCGATGCGTCGATAGCCACCGATGTTTGTTAGCCGTTGGCCAGGGATCGAACTTGGGTGGCGGCTGGTTCGTGGTACTAAAATTAAGCACGTTTTTTTAGTTGACAATTTTTTTTTGTTGACAAATTTTTTTGTTGACATTTTTTTGTTGACAAATTTTTTTTGGTAACAATTTTTTTTTTTGACAAATTTTTTTTGTTGCCAAGTTTTTTTTGTTGACACATTTTTTTGGTTGACAAATTTTTTTTTTGACAATTTTTTTTGTTGACATTTTTTTGTTGACAATTTTTTTTGGTTGACAATTTTTTTTTGTTGACAATTTTTTTTGTTGACACATTTTTTTTAGTTGACAATTTCTTTTGGTTGACAATTTTTTTTGACAAATTTTTTTGTTGACAAATTTTTTTTGTTGACACATTTTTTTTAGTTGACAATTTTTTTGGTTGACAAATTTTTTTTGTTGACATCTTTTTTTGTTGACAATTTTTTTTTATTTGACCAGGTAAGGTCCCACTAAGCGATGTAGATTTGTCTTTTTCAGAAGCGACCTGGCCACCACAAATGATAGTTGAACCGAAAGTGGCATTTTTTATTTAAAGCTTTCGTGACTGCAGGGATTCATATTCTTGGTTCTTTCGGTAAAGTCACGTAGAAGGGAAATAATAAAAAAAATGTTTTAAATATTTTTATTATTATTTATCTATTACGTCACTTTACCGAAAGAACCAAGAATACGAAAGTTGCTTGACCCGTGGAAATCTATAGCAGCAGCCACATGCTCTACACGCGCGATGTCGATTCTAAATGTGGAGGGGAAAACCGGAGGACCAGGAGAAAAATCCACGCGACCACGGGGAGAGAGACACGCAAACTCCAAATATACAGCAGCAGGCGTCAGCCTCGGGGTCGAACCCACGACCTCCTGTATACCAGGCGAGGTAGTTAACATCTCACCACGGAGAGAGACACGCAAACTCCAAATATACAGCAGCAGGCGTCAGCCTCGGGGTCGAACCCACGGCCTCCTGTAGACCAGGCGAGGTAGTTAACATCTCACCACGGAGAGAGACACGCAAACTCCACATATACAGCAGCAGGCGTCAGGGCTGGGATTGAACCTACGATCTCCTGTTGACCAGGCGAGGTAGTTAACATCTCACCATCGCGGTGCCGTGTGCTAACCACCGCGCTGCAACTCCACCTTATAAGTTATCAGGGTGGACACTACCCATGGTGGATACTGCCCATAGTGGACACTACCCAGGGTCGACACTACCCATGGTGGACACTACCCATGGTGGACACTACTCAACCACAACCCCCTCCCCCCCCCCCCGCAGTCATCGACGACAAGGTGGACCCGGACTACGAGACTCTGCGCATCGGCAACTCCCTGTCGCACCGCAACAAGGGCAAGGGCGACGAGGACGACAAGAAGGTGGATACTATGAGACACCTCCTTTACCAGTGGCGAAATATAGTGATAGGTTTTTAACCCTTTCAACTGGTACAAAAACTGACACCTTTATACAAGGCATCATGTTTGCAATAACCACAACACAAGCAGTCAAAATGCAAACAAAATAAACAACTCTGATGATGATAATAATATGCACTGTCCTTTTGACTGCTTGTGTTGTGGTTATTGCAAACATGATCCCTTGTATAAAGGTGTCAGTTTTGTACCAGTTGAAAGGGTAAAAACCTATCACTATATTTTGCCACTGGTAAATGAGGTATCATAGTTGTAAATGCTTACCCCGAGCTCTCAATACTTTGGTAGTGCGCTGTTTTTCAGTTGTACGCCTTTTGGCGTCATCTGGTCCAACACCAATGGAGACTAGGCTCTAAGAAAAGCTGTCTCGGGTGTGGATCAATCAACTTCAAGGACAGTGCATATCATTATCATCATCATCAGAGTTGTTTCTTTTTGTTTGCATTTTGACTGCTTGTGTTGTGGTTCTTGCAAACATGATGCCTTGTATAAAGGTGTCAGTTTTGTACCAGTTGAAAGGGTAAAAACCTATCACTGTAAGAAGGTGGACCTCGCACATCCACCTTTCTCGGTCGCGTCTCCCAGGCCCAGAATCCCTCGTTTCGCTAAGAGTTGCTGGCAGCTTCATTGGGAATTACTTTTATGCTCATGTCATCATCATCACCACCACCAACACCATCGTCACCTTCGGCCGTGGTCAATCCGCTGCTAAGACTAAATTACGTTTCGTTCGACTGTGTTTAGTTCACCAGGTAAAGCGACGTGTCTATCATTAACGAAATCTCTAGGAAGCGCCTTACTGGTGGCGTGCAAACGTTCATTGCAGCCAAACCCACTACGACATTCACAATCCCAGCACGCAGTTCACTCCCCAACACACCGCTTGCGTGCTTGCGTGTTGTGGAGTGAACACAGGTACCACAGTCAGTATGCGCTGCTGTAATCACAGGTACCACCACAGTATGCACTGACATTTCCATAGGCTATTCCAGCAGATGCATATGCACTCAAAAAAGTCAATATTTTTAGCGATAGGCTCCACGAAACGACAGAAATTGGCGGGGATTGCTCTCTTGTGTTTCACGGGGCATCGCTTGCGTGTTACGGAGTAAACTCACGACCACATTCACAATTCCAGTAGCGTGACGTTTCGCCGGTAATAACAACAACAACAGCATCGTCAGGATGGACAGCCACAGAGTTGTGGAGAAATCCTCCTCCTGCTTCGGTATTAAATGGACGAGGGTGTTAACAGTGGCGGCTCCTGCAAAATCTCTCAGGGGGGGCAAATGTTTGGATGATTGATAAGGATAAGGTCCACCCATGCAATGGATAAATTAACAGCTTAAGCATGTAAAGGCAACTTCACTTCTTTAATATTAATGAAAAATAAAGTGACTCTTACAATGCATCTTGTTTGTTTTTATACTCACTATTAATATACAATCCACTCAAGTTTCTTTTATTAAAGATTCCACTAGGTAGCGACAAATTATATTGTTGGATGAAACGTGCTTACGTATGATGACGTAAGCACGTTAGGGCGAGCCCTCCCGGAAACCATAGAGAATGCATTGCAGCGCCCCCGTTCGAAAAAAAACATCTTTGAATGTAAGTCTATGGGGCCACTCGGGGCGATTCTCAGCCGGAGTGAAATCGCCCAAAAAGAGGCGGTACTCCACAGAACGTGACATGACGCTGATTGGACTATATCCAGAGGCTGCAGTGACGGCTAGCGTGACTCTGTGGTTCAATGACATTGGTGGTGCGTCGCCCAATCGCCCTAATGAAGAAACCGCCCCTGGGTGTTAATGTGATGTTGTCACCTGTGGGCCAATCATGCTCGCAGGCTAGAGGGAGGGGGTCAATGTATATTGTGAGTCTTACTGGGTTTGTTGTGGGGTTTTTTTGTTGTTGTTGTTGTCGTCGTCAAGGGAGGACAAACTTCGGAGACATCGCAAGACAACGACGTGGAGAGTGAATACTTGGAGAACGAAAATGAAAACGATGAAGGTAGGCGTCACTTTGCGAAAATCCTGACCTCGTGAGCGTCACTAGGAGATGCTAACTATAGGAGGTCGTGGGTTCGATCCCGACCCTGACGCCTGCTGTATATTTGGAGTTTGCGTGTCTCTCACTCTCATCATCATCACGGTGGCTAGGAGATGTTAACTACCTCGCCTGGTATACAGGAGGTCGTGTGTTCGATCCCGACCCTGACGTCTGCTGCTGTATATTGGAGTTTGCGTGTCTCTCTCTCTCTCATCATCATCACGATGGCTAGGAGATGTTAACTACCTCGCCTGGTCCACAGGAGGTCGTGGGTTCGATCCCGACCCTGACGCCTGCTGCTGTATATTTGAGTTTGCATGTCTCTCTCTCATCATCATCACGGTGGCTAGGAGATGTTAACTACCTCGCCTGGTATACAGGAGGTCGTGGGTTCGATCCCGACCCTGATGGGGGGGGCAGGGCTTTCTGACGTCATATTTGAGGGGGGGGGGTCTGACTTTTTGTGACGCCGTGTGATGAGGGGGGCGGGTCAAAAATCGTCAAAAATCGCGTGACGTCATTTATGGACGGCCCCCAACGTTTGGTGCGACTCTCCTGACCCGGAGACCTCGGGTGACCCCTGAGAGTATGTGGGTGGGTGTGGGGGTGGGTGAGTGTGTGGGTGGGTGGGTGAGTGGGTGGGTGTGTGGGTGTGTGGGTGGGTGGGTGAGTGGGTGAGTGAGTGTGTTTGGGTGGGTGTGGGGGTGGGTGGGTGAGTGTGTGGGTGGGTGTGGGGGTGGGTGGGTGAGTGTGTGGGTGGGTGAGTGTGTGGGTGAGTGGGTGTGGGGGTGGGTGGGTGAGTGTATGGGTGGGTGAGTGGGTGAGTGGGTGGGTGGGTGAGTGAGTGTGTGTGGGTGGGGTTGTGGGTGTGTGGGTGGGTGAGTGTGTGGGTGGGATGGGTGGGTGGGGGTGGTGGATGTGTGGGTGGGTGTGTGGGTCGGTGGGGTAGTGGTGTGTGGGTGGGTGTGTGAGTGTGTGGGTGGGTGGGTGAGTGGGTGTGTGGGTGTGTGGGTGGGTGAGTGTGTGTGTGGGTGGGTGTGTGGGTGTGTGTGTGGGTGGGTGTGTGAGTGTGTGTGAGTGTGTGAGTGGGTGGGTGTGTGTGTGGGTGGGTGGGTGAGTGGGTGAGTGTGTGTGTGGGTGAGTGTGTGGGTAGGTGAGTGTGTGTGTGGGTGAGTGTGTGTGTGGGTGGGTGAGTGTGTGGGCGAGTGTGTGTGTGTGGGTGAGTGTGTGGGTGGGTGAGTGTGTGTGTGGGTGAGTGTGTGTGTGGGTGAGTGAGTGTGTGGGTGGGTGGTGGGGAGGGAGTTCTCTCTCTGTCAGGCCGTGCCCTGTCCATCTGCCCGTGGGCGTCAAACGCAAGACCCCCCCCCCCACCCCCCCCGGCGTCTCACCTACCTCTGCGTTCGTCCGCAGTGTTCGAGAACGCCGAAAACATGGAGCAGAACTCGGACGAGACAAAGGTAACGACGGACACGTGGTACTACCCCCCCCCCCCCTCTGGCGCTTCCCGGTGAAAGGGGGGGGGGCAGTGCCACGTGGTACCCCCCATTCCCCCCCCCTCTGACGCTCCCCGGTGAATGGGGGGGGGGCAGTGCCTGGTGCGGTGTGTAAACATCGCCACTGGGAAGACAAAGGCGGTCGGGCGTGGTGCTGGCCACCCACCCCCTCGTGTGCCGTGCCGGCCTTCATAGGTGTTCGCTAACAGCACTTGCCCCAACAGTCTGTTAAGGCTACACGGGGGATCTTTGTCTTTATCTGGGGGTGGTGTTGCTGTTGTAATCCTGTTGTAACGTCCCACTTTTGAGGTAAGTTCACCCCCCATTTGCTTTCATTCTCGTCTCTGTGTGAGTCTATGGGTCTCTGTGTTAGCCTATGGGTCTCTGTGTGTGAGTCTGTGGGTCTCTGTGTGAGACTATGGGTCTCTGTGTGAGTCTATGTGTGTGTGTGAGTCTATGGGTCAGTGTGTGTATGAGTCTATGGGTCAGTGTGAGTCTATGGGTCAGTGTGTGTGAGTCTATGTGTGTGTGTGTGAGTCTATGTGTGTGTGTGTGAGTCTATGTGTGTGTGTGTGAGTCTATGTGTGTGTGTGTGAGTCTATGGGTCAGTGTCCGCGAGTCCACGGGATATTTGTCGAGCGTCGCTCACCCTCCCGCCCCCTCCGTCTGTGTCAGGGCAAGAAGCCGGGCAAGGACACGGTGACCTCGGCCTTCACCTACGTGGCCCTCTACCGCTTCCAGTCGCAGGAGAAGGACGACCTCGACCTTCAGTGAGTGCGCGACCCTCCCGGCCTCCCGTCCATCTGTGTGCTGCGTCGCGAAGGCCCATTGAGGGTAGGAGTGACTTGATGGTGTCAGCGCGGTCGCCAAATGATTCGCACGCAGAGACCCATAGACTCACACAGAGACCTATAGACTCACGCAGGGACCCATAGACTCACACAGGGACCCATTGACTCACACAGAGACCTATAGACTCACACAGGGACCCATAGACTCACACAGGGACCCATAGACTCACACAGAGACCTATAGACTCACACAGAGACCCATAGACTCACACAGAGACCTATAGACTCACACAGGGACCCATAGACTCACACAGGGACCCATAGACTCACACAGGGACCCATAGACTCACACAGAGACCTATAGACTCACACAGAGACCCATAGACTCACGCAGAGACCTATAGACTCACACAGGGACCCATAGGCTCACGCAGAGACCGTTACACTGACGCAGACAGCGTTCGATAGCCCTGTTCTTCACCTGAGGACGGCTGCTTGCGTTGTGGCCGAAACGTCGTGAGAATTATTTTATTATGTTTTATTTTTATTATTCTATTATTTCCCTTCTACGTGGTGACTTTACCGAAAGAACCAAGAAGATGAATCCCTGCAGTCACGAAAGCTTTAAATCGAAATTTAGCCTCGGTCTTTGTTCAGCCTGCGTACGCATCTCACGTGCTATCTCGGACCGTGCTTTAACCGCTGTATTACACACGATTTACTGTCACGCGATATTTCAGTTTAACACTGAGTTAATGAGTTAATGATGACGTCACCCTGCTGCTGCTCTATATAAGAACGGGAGACAGAGCAGAGCCTCACCATTCTGGCGAATTGCCCGATGATGCTGGATGCAATTACCAGCGAAACGTCGTGCTACTCAAACATTGTAAATGTTGTGGTTTCACGCTTCAACACACCGGTGGGCTAAAGCAGTGAACTATTTGTCTTTTGTCAACGTGACACTTTCTTTACTGATTGGCCGTGTCGGGTGGTGGAGGGTTACGACACATTTATAAATAACGCGATCGGACCCAAAAACCTTTATTATGAATGATTATAAGCGATATTTTCATAACGCGGTGTTCTTAGGGAACACAACTCGCGTGTTATAGAACAGGACGTGTTTATTTTTATTACACGCTTTTATTTAACTTAAAAAATCCTGTAAACTAAATTTTTACCCACTTCCCAATGTGGTATCGACTGCAAACTTGGTATACGTATGTCATACTGATGACAATACTATATTTTATCATTAAAATATATATATTTTTTAAGCAATATTTTTTATATGTTATGTTTCGCCATGGGTCTAATTGTCCACGCTCAACTCACGTTGCCTGTAAATCACCACGTGGTCCCTTACGCTGTGGCAAGCTGCGGGCCCACTTCCTGGGAGTCGTGGAGTTCTGCCATTACGAGTACGGTACATTTCATGAAAGCGTGTTTTAAAAAAAAGTATTTTTAAATATTACTTTTTTAAAATTAGAAAATAAAGACACGTGTGACAGCGAGCTGCTAAGATGACGCTACTTAACCCTCTGTGCCCTCAGCCCTGGGGACCGGCTACAGGTCACTGATGACTCCAACGAAGAGTGGTGGAAGGTGAGTTCGCTCATTTTTGCTAACACATTCCTCCTGCGGAGGGAGCTGGTAGGAACACGTTGGGTTGCTCGGTCAATGGCCAGGGTCAACGGCGGCGTGGTGTATTCCGCAATTGTGCCCGACTGTGAGGGCGGGCACAAGCCGGCGTGAGTAGGTTAAACGTTGAGTTTTATAAGGGCACCACGGGGTGACCAGTCTCTCCCCACCCAGCCCCACCCCTCCCACCCCCCCACCCAGCCCCACTCTCCCCACCCAGCCCCTCCCCACCTTCCCCTCCCCACCCAGCCCCTCCCCACCCTCCCCACCCTCCCCTCCCCACCCAGCCCCTCCGTCCCCACCCAGCCCCTCCCTGCACGACGGACGGACGGACACAATAATCCCCTGTGTCTCTCTCTCTTTGTGGTGAGATGTTAACTATCTCGCCTGGTATACAGGAGGTCGTGGGTTCGACCACGACCCTAACGCCTGCTGTATATTTGGAGTTCGCGTGTCTCTTTCTGTCTCATCAGTATCACGGTGGCTAGGAGATGTTAACTACCTCGCCTGGTAAACAGGAGGTCGTGAGTTCAATCCTGACCCTAACGCCTGCTGTATATTTGAAGTTTGCGTATCTCTCTCTGTCTCATCAATATCACGGTAAGTAGGAGATGTTAACTACCTCGCCTGGTATACAGGAGGTCGTGGGTTCGACCCGGACCCTGACAACTGCTGCTGTATATTTGAAGTTTGCGTGTCTCTCTCTCTCCCCGTGGTCGCGTAGATTTCCCTCCGGGTCCTCCGTTGTTTTTTTTCTCTCCACATTTAGAAATTTGCGTTTAAAGCATTTGTCTACTGTACATTTCCACTCGAAGTGATAAGCCACTTCGTTGAGCTATCATCTGTGCTGGCCAGGTCGCTTCTGAAAAATATCCTAACAGGTCAGTGGGCATTACCTTGTAAAATTAACAAGTTTAGTTATAGTTTGTGTAGAGTTTGGCGCTACGCTGCGCTGCGAACCTGGCGACCAGGGTTCGATTCTCGCTCACGGCCACCAACACCGGTGACGATTATCTGAACTGGTCCTGGGCCTCCCCTAGGTCGACTCGGCCTCAAATGAGTACCTGGTGCGATGTCTAAACATCGCCACTGGGGAGACAAAGGCGGTCGGGCGTGGTGTTGTTGGCCACCCACCCCCTCGTGTGCCGTGCCGGCCTTTATAGGTGCTTGTTAACAGCACTTGCCCCTACAGTCTGGTAAGGCTATACGGGGGATCTTTGTCTTTGTGCGCGCATGTTCGAATGTCATGTTGATGGCGTAGCAATCACCGCCCCCTACTGAAAAAAACTGCGCAGGACACTCCTTTCATTCTAGATTTGAAGCTTTCGTGACTGCAAGGATTCATACTCTTAGTTCTTTCGGTAAAGTCACGTAGGTGAAAAATGAAATTAATACAAATAAAACAATAAAAATCACGACGTTTCGGAGGCAACAAAACAAAAGCGTGAACAAGAAACATCTGAAAGTGACTTACGCGCAAACAGAAAAGATCCTGGAAAAAACAGCAAAGTCTTCCAAAAAAATACCACCTCATTTCAACGCTGTGTGCAAAAATCCCAGTGGGATGCAAGTCAAACAATAACAACCACAAGACAATGTAGATTGAGGCTCGGTGACTCGGCTTTCCCGGGCACACAAGCGCAGGAAAAATAATAACAGCGGTCGAATAATAATAATAATCCTGGGTGCTAATTTGATCGAAGGATGAATTAGTTTGCATTTTCTGACTCTGTCTCTTGCTTTTAGCCTACGGATACACTTTGAAAATAATTGGTATGCACAAAAACTCAACTTAGAAACAGTTTTTTTTAGTTTATTGGACCAGGTAAGGCCCACTGAGCGATGTAGATCGTTTGCAGAAGCGACCTGGCTACCACAAATGATAGTTGGACGAAGTGGTTTATCAAGTGGACATTCATAGCAGCCAAATAACTCAAAACGCGCGACGTCAATTAAAAATGCGGAGGGAAAAACCGGAGGACCCGGGGAAAATCCATGCAACCGCGGGGAGAGAGAGGCACGCAAAACTCCAAATATATACAGCAGCAGGCGTCAGGGTCGGGTTCGAATCCACGACCTCCTGTAGACCAGGCGAAGCAGTTAACATCTCACCACGGAGAGAGAGACACACAGACTCCGAATATACAGCAGCAGGCGTCAGGGTCGGGTTCGAATCCACGACCTCCTGTAGACCAGGCGAGGCAGTTAACATCTCACCACGGAGAGAGAGACACGCAGACTCCAAATATACAGCAGCAGGCGTCAGGGTCGGGTTCGAATCCACGACCTCCTGTAGACCAGGCGAAGCAGTTAACATCTCACCACGGAGAGAGAGACACGCAGACTCCGAATATACAGCAGCAGGCGTCAGGGTCGGGTTAGAATCCACGACCAGGCGAGGTAGTTAACATCTCACCACAGAGAGAGAGACACGCAGACTCCAAATATACAGCAGCAGGCGTCAGGGTCGGGTTCGAATCCACGACCTCCTGTAGACCAGGCGAGGTAGTTAACATCCGTGTGACCGCTGCGATACTCCGTGGTGCTGTGCCGCACAATTTTTGCGCGACCGCTGCTGTTTGCGTGATGCCACGTGCCATGATGGGTGCCACCCGATGCCGCTTTGCCTGATGCCGCGTGCCGCGCAGGGCAAGATCGGCGAGCGAGTCGGCTACTTCCCCGCCAACTTCACGCTGAAGATCCGCACGACGGAGCGTGTGTTTCGCTGCGTGCGCACATTCGTGGGCAACCGCTACCTGGGCCAGATCACGCTCAAGCAGGACCAGGTGAGGGCTAACAGCACTTGCCCCAACAGTCTAGCAAGGCTATACGGGGGATCTTTGCCTGCGTCTGTCCCGTGACCTGCTGCACCTAGCCTGGCACATCAGTTAACCCGTGGCACCTGCATCTGCCCCGTGACTTGCTGCACCAAGCCTGGCACATCAGTTAACCCGTAACACCTGGGTCTGTCCCGTGACCTGCTGCACCTAGCCTGGCACATCCGTTAACCCGTAGCACCTGGGTCTGTCCCGTGACTTGCTGCACCTAGCCTGGCACATCAGTTAACCCGTAGCACTTGGGTCTGTCCCGTGACCTGCTGCACCTAGCCTGGCACATCTGTGAACCCGTAGCACCTGCATCTGTGCCGTGGCCTGCTGCACCTAGCCTGGCACACCCGTTAACCCGTATTACCTGGGTCTGCCCCGTGACCTGCTGCACCTAGCCTCGCACATCAGTTAACCCGTGGCACCTGCGTCTGCCCCGTCACCTGCTGCACCTAGCCTGGCACACCCGTTAACCCCCCCCCCCCCCGCGCTGTAACTTTTCCGCAGATCTGCGTGGAGAAGGGCGGAGGCAGCAACGGCTTCCTGGCCGTGACGAGTGGCAGGAAGAAGGGCCTGGTTCCCGGCGACTTCCTCGAGCAGATCTAACGGCGCCACCACAACGGGACACGGGGTGGTGGTGGTGGTGGTGGGCGGTGGTGGTGGGCGGTGGTGGGCGGTGGTGGGCGGTGGTGGTGGGGGGTTAACGTAGACAAGGTCACGCAAAACCTGCACGGTCGCGCGTCAAGGTCGTGAACAAAACTAGAGCGGACGAAAGTGTTCGCCAGAGGATAGGTGGGTTTTTGTTTTGTTTCTTTTTAAAAATATAAAATTTACTTTCGTCGACGATGACTTCTGGGGTGGGGGGACTCTCTTTTTTTCCACTGCCACATTCGAACCGTGCCGAGGGCTCTGGCTGTCACGTGACCGCCGTGGCGCGGCCCGTCGGTGGCGCGTTGCTCGCTCCCTCGCTCGCTCGCTCCCTTGTTGCAGAGGTTGCCCCAGGCCCATCACTCGAGCAAGCGAGACTCACGCCGGCCCCTTGAGCTCTTGACATTTGAACTTTGCCGGCTCAGCGCGGCTCAGGTGGCGCGGGGTTTGTGTGGTTTTTTTTAATTTCCCCTCCTACCCCCCCTCCCGCACTACGGTAGACGAACAGCGTTGACGGCGCCTCTTGCCTTTACACCTTCGCTGGCAATGGCACGGGGCGATTAAGATGTTCAAACACCAAGGCATCAACTTCGTTCGTGCCGTACGTAGCCGACCGTGCTAATTGGAGGTGCGGGTGGGGGGAGGGGGCACCAGACCGCACACACAACAAAAGCACTTGTAAAGAAATGAGTTTTCATTCTCAGAGGGAGTGTGGGTTACTCGCGACTCCTCCAAGACGTCTGCGCAGCGTGGAAGAGTAGGCCAAATACAGGGGCTCTCTCGGGCGCCCTCTGGATAGAGACCCTTCTGTCAGCAGTGGCTGTGAGAAGGCAATTGCAGGGCTGCGCTTTTATCAGTCACGGGGGGGGGGGGGCTCCCAACTCAAGCAAACGAGGGGAAGACGCTCCGCCGGTGTGCAAATTCCACGTTCCTCTGGCGGGTGCCAGTCCCTCCGTGGAACAACCAACTGATGACTCCCCATAAAGTGGTTCTCGCTTTGCTGTTGTTGTTGGTGTATCGACCAATGGAGAGATGATGAGTCAAACTGCCCCTTCCCTATACTCTTAGTTTATTTTTTTTTGGGTAAAGTCACGTAGGTAAAAAATAATATAAATGTTGGTGGCCGTGAGCGAGAATCGAACCCTGGTCGCCAGATTAGTAGCGCGCTAAACTCTACACACACACACATATCGTGCGTTAATATCCATAAGAGGTTTGTGAGTTCGGCTCCTCGAACCCGCAGCGGCCGCCTGAAGCAAGTGAAGGAATAACGCAGCGACTCACGCGCCGATTGAGTTACACTTTTTAACACGCGCGTCCTTGACTTTGGGGAAAATAAATAAACAAACAAACCCATCAGCACGGAAGCCAAACGGCAGCTGCCAGGGCTAATACAGTATTTGCCAAAAAAATTCGATTTAAAGCTTTCGTGACTGCAGGGATTCATCTTCTTGCTTCTTTCGGTAAAGTCACGTAGAATGGAAATAATAAAATAATAAAAACAAAACAATAAAATAATTCTCACGACGTTTCGGCCACAACGCATGCAGCCGTCCACATGTGAAGACCAGGTCTGTCTACGTGACTTTACCGAAAGAACCAAGAAGAAGAAAAATAAAGCAGTTGTCCTTTTTGGTTTGGTTCGATGTGTGTGTCCCCCCAGTACGCCCCGGTGGCTATGAGATGTTAACCTCCTCGCCTGGTCTACAGGAGGTCGTGGTTTCGACCCCGACCGTGGCGATGCTTGCTGCTGTTTATTTGGAGTTTTGCGTGTCTCTCTCCCCCCCCCCCCCCGTGACCGCGTGGATTTTTTTCCACCGGGTCGTCTGGTTTTTCCCTCCATGTTTAGAATCGGCGTCACTCACGCGTTTATCGATCATCTGGCTGCTATAAATGTCCACGTGATGATGAGCCGCTTTGTTGAGCTCTCATTTGAGATTGGCCGGTCTCTTCTGAAAAAACGAGCTGCGTAAAACTTGATTTGAAGCTTTCGTGATTGCAGGAATTACTCTTTGGTTCTTTCGGTAAAGTCACGTAGAAAGAAAATGGATTAAATAATAAAGAAAACAAACTTAGCATTTTTTTCTTTCGAAATGTAATGCAATGCAAGGCAGAGAGTCGGCTTAACTGTGCTAAGTTTGTTTTCTTTATTATTTTCTTTATTTTCTTTTTACGTGAAATCACCGAAATAACTCAGTGGGCCTTAACCTGGTCAAATAAAAAAAATATTTTCGTTTTTGAAGTACCTCGTTCATCAATGTGGACAATCGTCTGTAGCAGAGGCCGGCAACCAAAATAACCAGAATCTATTTTTTTGGGGGGGAGGGATTCGGTAAAAATAAAAAATCCTCAATATTTTAAGAGCCGCAATGATTACGAGACGGTGGGGGGGGGGGGTAATGAATAAATAACCGTCTTCTTGGTTCTTTCGACTTTACCGAAAGAACTTTACCGAAAGAACCAGAGTATGAATCCTTGCAGTCACGAAAGCTTCAAATCTATAATTTACCGAAAGAACCAAAGAGTAACATGATTCATATTGGATTTTAATCTTTGCCAGAATTGTCGTGCAATCGTCCCCGGTACGGATGGACAGAGACGCCAGGTTTCACACGTAAGCCTTTCGCGACCAATATCATCCAGAGGCGGTGGCATAAACACTGCCAACCTCGGTTGGAAAGCATTGCGAACTGAGCCTGCAGTTTTCGTGGAAAAATATTTATAGGGGCACTTTAGCCTTAATTTCTTGTGGAATATGTTTCAACCCAGCCTGTCCCAAGCCCCACAGAGCCCCCCCTCCCAACACCGACGGCATGGGGGGGGGGGGGGGGTAGGTCATGGCCAGGGACATTTTCTGGAGGTCAGCCCCGGAGAGCTCTGGCTCAAATTAAGTCCTGGGGGGCATTACTCAATTGAGTGTTAATCTTAATCATGTCCATATTTACGCGTCAATTCATGCTTGCTTACTCTATGGAGATGTGTGTCCATGAAAACAACATTGATTTACATGCACCACGATGAAGGGCTATTGTCCAGAACGTCAACCATCATATGTATGTTTTTCTTTTCTTTAAAGACCGCATTGTTGGGACGCCGCAGTGGCGAAATGTTAACTACCTCGCCTGGTGTACAGGAGGTTGTGGGTTCGATCCCGAACCTGACGCCTGCTGTATATTTGGAGTTTGCACGTTCTCCCTGTGGTCGCGTGGATAGCTTTTGTTCCTGTTCCTCCCGGTGTCTCCCCTCCACATTTAGAATCAACGTGCGCTTAGAGCATTTGGCTGCTATAAATGTCCACACGACAATCCGTCACTTCGCTGAGCTATAATTTGTGGTGGCCAGGTCGCTTCTGATAAAGAGCCGTTTCGCTCAGTGGGCCTTACCTGGTAACTAATACAAAGTTGATAGTTTGGTTAAAATGTATATATATTATCTGTGTGTGTGCGCACCACTTGCCAACGCAACAGCATCAGTGGCAGCATCATCAACTACTGGTAAAAGAGTTCCCATGATGTAGCTGCTGCTCACCCCGAGCGATAAATGCTCTGATCGGTGCGGCATTGCCTTTGTACTGTTCGCATTTTGGCGTTCTCTGGTCTGACACTGGTGACGACACTAGGCCATGAAGAAGGCTGTCTCTGGTGTAGGCAAATGAGTTTTGCATTATGACTGCAGGTATTGTGGTCAATATAAACACAACTCCTTGCAAAAAAAGGTGTCAGTTTTGTTGCCATATAAAAGGGTAAAAAAACAATTATCATATTTTTTACTGGCAAATGAGGTTCCAATGGTGTAAATGCTTACCTTGAGCTCTCATACTGATGGTACATTGTCTTTAAGTTGTGCGCCTTTTGGCGTCATCTGGTCCAACCCATGTGAGACTAGGCTCTAAGGAAAGTTGTCTCGGGTGTGGACCAATCAACTTCAGGGACAGTGCATATATTATCAGAGTTATGTTTTTTGTTTGCATTATGACTGCAGGTATTGTGGTCTATGCAAACATGACTCCTTGTAAAAAAGGTGTCAGTTTTGTTGCCAGATAAAAGGGTAAAAAAACAATTATCATATTTGAAAGACAATGCCATATTTTATCAGGGCATGTTTTGTTTCATATTCTTGGTTCTTTCGGTAAAGTCACGTAGAAGGGAAATAATAAAATAATAAAAATAAAACATAAGATAAAATTCTCACGACCTTTCAGCCGTTCTCAGGTGAAGAACAGGGCTGTCGGAAAGACAGCGTCCTCATTAGGACAGCCCTGTTCTTCACCTGAGGATGGCTGCTTGCGTTGTGGCCGAAACGTCGTGAGAGTTTTATCTTATGTTTTATTTTTATTATCTTATTATATCCCTTCTGCGTGACTTTACCGAAAGAACCAAGAATATGAATCCATGCAGTCACGAAAGCTTTAAATCATTAAATAATGCAGACATGATTCCTCTGTTTGGTGTTCCAACATCTTAACACCTGTTTTATTGCCAGAAAGGGTAACACCTATTGTGATTTTTCATACATTGATGCTGGCACAAAATGTCCCCATGTTATCACCAAATAACCCATTGCAATTCTGAGTTACTACGAATAAAACGTCGATTTCATTTTATTTTAAACAGTCCATGTATTCGCACTAGCAAACAAAACAAACTAACAACAACAACAACAACCGGTTTCAATCGTCCGTGTAATGTAATCGTGGATCTACGACATCAATGCAAATACGCAGTCACTGACCCGGATAACTTTTTGCTGACATTGGGCCACCGTTCCAAATTTGGCTGGCGGTCATATCGTCAATAAAGCAAAAGTATCCGCAGCGTTGCTCGGCAAGTATTTATGAAATGCTCCTATGCAATAAGTCTTGAATGTATGCACACTCGTATGCAACAGCTGGAATAAACAAACAAGAATTATAATTTACAGTCCTGTGTCAGTCCACTGCCGAATGACTGCTTTCCAATCGCGTGACGGTTATGGGGATTGTTTGGTCATACTTCACCACACCGGTCACTGCACGTGGGGTGAAGGGACAAGCGGAGGTGGGGTGCAAGCCCAGGACCAGCATATTTGAATATTGGGGGGGATGTGTCAATAAAGCAAAATTATCCGGAATAGGTGGGTCATGTTTCATCTTCTTGGTTCTTTCGGTAAAGTCACGTAGAAGGGAAATAATAAAATAATAATAAAAATAAAGCAATATATTTTATTATGTTTTAATAAAAATAAAACATAATATATTTTATTATGTTTTAATAAAAATAAAATATAATATATTTTATAATGTTTTATTTTATTATTTTATTATTTCCCTTCTACGTGACTTTACCGAAAGAACCAAGAAGATGAATCCCTGCAGTCACGAAAGAAGCTTTAAATCGAAATTTAGTTGGGTAATGGTTACCCAGATACTAGAGCGCATGACATTGGTGGTAAGAGGCACGGGCATCGGAAGGATCGATAGCTCGTTGGTTTAGTGGGAGGGCAAGTGTCCGCTTGACGTCGCTGGAAAATGCAGGAAGATTTTTAAAAAATATTGGCCGTGAGCGGGAATCGAACTCGGGTGGGCGGAGGTGTTTAATTTGATTTTTAAATCCTTTATATTAAGTTCGCTTGCTTGCGTGCGTGCTTGCTTGCTTACGACTGTGCAAATATTTCGGTCGTTTTTAACCCACTTCCCGTGATCCAATCGAGCTGACATTTTGCACACAGACTCGTTGTGCGAGACAATTAATGTTTGTAAAAAAAATCAAAAATTTTACACTGTTTAGGGAAAATAAATTAAATATTTAATTACCAATTGCTTAATACTGGCAGACAATCATCTGACCCATAGGTGGCAGCCATCTCAAGCCAGAGGACGAGAGGACTCTAGCCGCCACGCATATAAAGGATTTATAGTGAAAAACTTTGTTTTTACGGGTTATACTTGTTAAAAATTCGGATGATCCCGATGGCGACATCTTCCGCGTGTTTTTTTCCTTCTTCTTCCATGCACGGAAGTTCGCTTCCGGAAGAGAGGGAACGAAGAGGAATTGAAGTTACTCAGGGTCGCGGGATATTTGTCCCTGCATAAGAAGTGGAGGGAGCCAATTTTTTTTCCTTGGAAATCCTCTGCGTTTTGTCTTCGCGGGTTGTAATCGCCTGAAATATTTCTTTTTTTTTTTTCATCTAAAAAATTGGGCGTGAGCGGGAATCGAACTCGGGTCGTCGGGGAGGTTTTTACATTGAGAAAAAAAATTCGCGGTAAAACGCGGATTTTAGGATACCAAGATGACATCTTCCGCGTGTTTTTTTTGTAGTTTTGCTTTACGGAAGACATCTTCCGGAAGATCTGAGGAGGAAGTGACGTGCTTAGCGCGCCGGCAGGGGGAGACATTTTTATTTTTTAAAATTTATTTTCCTAAATCCTCTGCGTTTTGGCTTCTCAGCTTGTAATCGCCTCGAATATTTTATTTTATATATTGAAAAAAAAATTTGCGGTAAAAACGCGGATTTTAGGATACCCGGAAAACGATATCTTCCGCGCGTTTTTTTCTCTTCCCATTATTCACGGAAGACGTCTTCCGGAAGTTAGGGGCTTCACCGGAAGTGACGTGATCAGCGCGCGGGCTATTGACCGGAAGCGCCGTGGATGTCTCCGCGTTATTTTTTTTTAGTAACAAATCCCTCCCCTCTCTACATTTTTTTTTGCTTTCGCGTCTTTGTAAATCGCCTCCAAAGATATTTCCACATACGTGTATAAAACAACGTATTTTTTTTAAACGTCGTCGTGTCAACACAAATTTAAAGGCGGCTACGGTGACTTTTTATTTTTTAATTTTTACGCGCGCGCGCGTTGCTAAGCGCGTTGGCCTTGGGTTCGTCCGCCGCTTTGAGGGCCCCCTTCTCGGCCGTTCCCAGGCCCAGGTACACGACCCCCCTCGCTTACACAGCACGCACAATCCACCACGCATCGCTGTTCCCCTAACACTACTCGTGTATTACAATTACGCGGTGTTTTATTACATAGATTGTGTTTGCGTGAGGGGGGGGAGTGGAGGGATAACGGTTAGCGCCGCTTACGATGCCCGGCCACCCGAGTTCGATTTCCACTTCGCGGAACGATTTTCTGAACCCCGGTTCGGGTAACCTCCTCTCACCTAGGTCGACTCGGCCTCAAATGAGTAACTGTTGTGATGTGTAAGCATCGCTATTTGAGAAGACAAAGGCGGCCGGGCTTGGTGATGGGCCGGCCTTCATAGGTGCTGCTACTCGCTAACAGCGCTTGCCCCAAGTGCTGTTGTGTTTGTCTGTCCAGTATATCGGTGCTTATAACTAATATAATAATACTGGCATTAGCACGACGCTGCAAAGTAACGCGACTATACAGCAACGTTTGTAACGTGGCATATAGACACAACACACTACTTACTGCCTCGATCATTAGAGCATTACAATATGATGACACTTCTGACACAATAACTGTGTTACTAACACAATACTGCCTGTAACATTCAGAGATGTTCATCACACCTATAACATTATTATGAATACATCACGCAATATACAGTAGTAATGATACTATACTGTTATTAACAATACTAGAATGTCTTGTAACACGAACAGTACTGTAACAGGGCTCATACATACCACACTTTCTCCCAATATCTGTTTTAATACTATACATTAGTTATAATAACTCATATTCTGTTAGGAGTGATATTAGTGTAACGTTAGTAACAATACCCGTGTTACTAACGTTACACTAATACAGTACTGCTAAACGAAAGGGGGGCCCTGTTATTGTTACAGAGATATTCTTTGCACGATACATTAGTAATGCAATAAAACAATACGTGTACTGTACCCCGAACATCACACAATAACACTGATACCACACCACTGCCTGTCAGACTAACAACACTGTCATCACACTGCCTATATGATTATATCCACATTATACTACTAATGACACGCTTAACAACATTTATGAATAACACCGACAACCATACCTGTTACTAGCACGATACCATCACTAACACAACAATGGTTATAACACTCGACATTGTGTTTAATCTAACCTTCAGACGGCTTTTTATGTAACAGGGGAAATGCTTTCACTATTTCACGATTCGTGTGTCAATCGTAATCTTCACAGAATGTATATGAAGTAATATTTCAACGTAACACTTAACAGCACTGCCCGTTAGAGTCCTCACAAATACTCACTGCACAGCCTCTACTGTCATATTACAATACAGTGGTACATCGGTATACGTCGTTAAATCGTTCCAGAAGGTAGGACTTATATACCGATAATGACGTATACCAAACGAATTTTTCTAATAAGAGATAAATGAATGGAAATAATCCGTTCCAGAGTATAAGAAATTATATTTTATATGGCATATTATACATTAATGGGGTTGTATAAAAAAATTGAGACACTACTTATTACTAAAAATGCATAAATAAATTAAAATAAATTAAAATAAATTGAAATAAAAATACAATTTAACATCACTTGCTGAGAGGAGTTGATAGCCTACGAGGATGGTGGTGAGGAAGGGGAGCCGTGAACGGAGTCTACGCGGGTACGCGGTGACTCATCCCGACCCGTACAAGGTCTAGCAAGTGCGTCGTATCCCAAGCAAGACGTCGTATCCCAAGCAAGACGTCGTATCCCAAGCAAGACGTATCCCAAGCAAGACGTCGTATCCCAAGCAAGACGTTGTATCCCAAGCAAGACATCGTATCCCAAAGCAAGACGTCGTATCCCAAGCAAGACGTCGTATCCCAAGCAAGACGTCGTATCCCAAGCAAGACGTCGTATCCCAAGCAAGACGTCGTATCCCAAGCAAGACGTATCCCAAGCAAGAAGTCGTATCCCAAAGCAAGACGTTGTATCCCAAGCAAGACGTCGTATCCCAAAGCAAGACGTCGTATCCCAAGCAAGACGTATCCCAAGCAAGACGTATCCCAAGCAAGACGTATCCCAAGCAAGACGTCGTATGCCAAACAAGACGTCGTATCCCAAAGCAAAACGTCGTATCCCAAGTAAGACGACGTATCCCAAGCAAGACGTCGTATCCCAAGCAAGACGTCGTATCCCAAGCAAGACGTCGTATCCCAAGCAAGACGTCGTATCCCAAATAAGACGTCGTATCCCAAGCAAGCGCGTCGTATCCCAAGCAAGACGTCGTATCCCAAGCAAGACGTCGTATCCCAAGCAAGACGTCGTATCCCAAGCAAGACGTCGTATCCCAAGCAAGACGTCGTATCCCAAACAAGACGTCGTATCCCAAGCAAGACGTCGTATCCCAAGCAAGACGTCGTATCCCAAGCAAGACGTCGTATCCCAAGCAAGACGTCGTATCCCAAGCAAGACGTCGTATCCCAAGCAAGACGTCGTATCCCAAGCAAGACGTCGTATCCCAAGCAAGACGTATCCCAAACAAGACGTCGTATCCCAAGCAAGATGTCGTATCCCAAGCAAGACGTCATATCCCAAGCAAGACGTATCCCAAGCAAGACGTCGTATCCCAAGCAAGACGTCGTATCCCAAGCAAGACGTCGTATCCCAAGCAAGACGTCGTATCCCAAGCAAGACGTCGTATCCCAAGCAAGACGTATCCCAAGCAAGACGTCGTATCCCAAGCAAGACGTATCCCAAGCAAGACGTCGTATCCCAAGCAAGACGTCGTATCCCAAGCAAGACGTCGTATCCCAAGCAAGACGTCGTATCCCAAGCAAGACGTCGTATCCCAAGCAAGACGTCGTATCCCAAGACATTTTTCTCGTCAAAATACGACGTATACCAAATTCGACGTATTCCAAAGCGGTCGTATACCAAGGTGTGACTGTATAAACATTGGTCATGATATAAAAACACAATGCATGCTTTACACTGACCCAGTACCATCACTAACACAACAATGGCT